CTGAAGCGAAGCACACAGTCTTTCTAAAGTGTGTGTGTGTTTGTGTGAATGTGAATGATTCTGATCTTATATCTGTTAAACGTCGTTTTAAAAAGCTGTGGCATACCATTGTTCATATTTGCCAAGTCTTCTGTAAAGATGTCTAGGACAAAATATTTTATGTGCTAATGCATGTATTTGTAAACCAGATTTGTTTACCACTCAAAATCAACTTGTTTTCTTCATCCAAAAAAGTTTATTTCTTCCACATACTTAAATTTTCTGTGTGGGTATAATAGCTTTCTAATTTTTTTCTTTCACAAAGGCAGGTTCAAAATTCTGTTGAAAGAAAAATGCTTTCTGAAACTGAGGTATAACACCAGAGTTTGCTGTTTAAAGGATTATATGATGTACATCAGTTCTATAAATGTGCTCAGCAGTTTAAGGTGTGAATCCTGTTTTAAAGTGCTCAGATTTCAACTGTGTAAGCCATTGATATAACATTGTAATTAAAAATGTTTATATGAAATAACTTAATGTTTTAAATTTATTTATGTAGATCGCATCATTTTTATCATATGCAGTGCAAATATGTGAGATGTCTTTTGGTTTATTCCAACAATTATTTATTTTAGAAAGTAAATTTAAAGACCTTAAGGACGTTCAAAGTTTAAAATAGTGTTCAAATTGCAAAATTTGGCCATCTTAATATAAATTGGTTTCTTTTCTGACTTTTCAAAAAGTAACATTAAGTGTCAATTATAGGAAAACATAGTTGGAAATGTAATCATCCAAAGATCATTTTAAAAATGAAATTTAATTAACACATACTGACTTCAACATTTGACTTACAGTAATTGTTAAACCCCAGGTTGTTTTTTTTTTTTTTTTTTTTTTTTGTTGCTTTGTTATTCAAGATTTTTTTTTTTTTTCCCCATGGGGGAGATTGTCTTCCAATGTTTACTATGTTTAAATAAATAAAAATTGAATTTTATTGTTCATTTATATAAAATTTGATACCTTGATGTAATTTCACAGTACAGTTCCAATTTTTATGGCTTTTATAATTACAATGATATTTTCTTCTATAATAAAATCCAAAGTAAACATTTAAATTGTAGAACTGATATTTTTTCATTTATATGAAGTATAAGCCTCTACCAGGTCTATATTGTGAATGATCCTGCCTTTCAAATTTGTTTCATAATTGTTAGATGAAAACTATTTTTTCGGAGATGTTACTGAAGTTGATTGAGCAATAAAAATCTACTTAATTAGTTGTTGGCTATTGTCTTTACTTTGTATTCTGATTATTAGGAGAACCACATCTCTGTCTCAGCTTGAGATGGGATAGGAGAGGAAGGTAAATGAGTGATGTCTGTTTCTGGCCTCCTAATATTCCTAGGCTTTGGTAGGAGAGAGAAAACAGGAAACGTTGTGAAAAAAATAAAACAGTGTTTGTTTCACAACAAACAGCGTTTGCTGGTTAAGAAATAATTGAAATTAAAGCTCTCTAAGAAAAGGCTGATCCATTTATTCCCCCTTGATTTTAGAAATCTTGCTGTGTGATGTGTAATGATTTTCATTATAATACTGAACTCTCCAGGGCTTTTCTTTCTTTCTCTGTTTTTTTTTTTTTTTTTTTTTTTTTTTTTTTTTTTTTTTGAGACGGGGTCTGGCTCTGTCACCCAGGCTGGAGTGCAGTGGCCCAATCTCAGCTCACTGCAACCTCTGGCTCGGGTTCACGCCATTCTCCTCCCTCAGCCTCCCGAGTAGCCTGGGACTACAGGCATCCGCCACCACACCCGGCTAATTTTTTGTATTTTTTTTTAGTAGAGACGGGGTTTCACTGTGTTAGCCAGGATGGTCCTCTTGATCTCCTGACCTCATGATCTGCCTGCCTTGGCCTCCCAAAGTGCTGGGATTACAGGCATGAACCCAGCCTCTTTCTTTGTTTTTAGTGACTAACTTTATTATGAATTATTTTCCTTAATAGAAAATTACAGGTCTCGGTGTGTTTCTCATTTGGCATGTGTGGAACACTTTCCTTTTGTGTTTTCTGCACTGAAAAACTTCTGATAACCTCACCATGAGTTTGATACCCTTTGGAATAAGATGGGGATAGACACTTATGTTTTTGGAAATTTCATTTGAAAATTTAGTTTACATTTATTTTAGGGAAATTTTTTTTGTCAATTTATAATTTCTAGCTACAGACCTTTGAGATTCTGTAGGAGGAGAGAGGAAAAGAGTAACTCTTTGATCTGGCCAATAAAGGCATATCTGATCTCTTAAGTATCAGTTCTTTTCATGGTGGACCCACACGTTCCTATCTCTATACTTTTAATGAAAACATTTCTGTTGTTTAGTAGACCTTCCTTTCTGCTTCTCTGCTTTTCTTTCAAAGCCCAATTTAAGTTCTGCCTTTACTTCAAATTGTACTCAGCCCTCTGCTTTCAGTCTACACGATCATTCTCATTCCTCCACTTAGATTTGTGTGTGTGTGGGGGGGGGCGGGGGTGTGTTTGTGTAAATAGCCTTATTCTAGACCATTGGGCTGAAGTCTTCTTATAAATTTTGGGAAGTGATTTTATCTTCTTGATGAGCTGATCCTGAATATCTACTTACATGCAGATTTGTTACTTTTATGCTGTAGTTAAGACATTACGCTGTTTTACTTTTGAACTGTATCATTTATGTTTTGCATTTCGTTTTAAAAAAGGCCTTAGAAAAAGATGTTTTCATAGTTTTGAGCCTTGCTATATAAGCTATAAGCTTGGGGCAAGATCTCTTGTGGGATTTTATTTTTTATCATGTTACAGAGGGACCCTTAACATTTGAGATGATAGTGTATGTGTCTTAGAGGCAGTGTCATTCTTGCCTCTTAATCTCTGCAGCTTTCAGGGAAGTTCGGGAATATTCTGGGATGGCTAAAACATTAGTTTAAGACTTTAATTTCACTGAGTAGTGGAAAGATGGGAAGCACAATTGGTATTCTGGTGAACATGAGAAGTTCAGTGGAGTCATGTCTCACTGCTTAATATTTATTTTTTGAGATAGAGTCTGGCTCTGTCTGTCTGGCTGGAGTGCAGTGGTGCGATCTTGGCTCACTGCACCTCCGCTTCCTGGGTTCAAGTAATTCTCGTGCCTCAGCCTCCTGAGTAACAGTCAGTAGCATGCGCCACCATGCCCGCTGATTTTTCTGTTTTTAGCAGAGATGGTTTGGCCATGATGGCCAGGCTGGTCTGAAACTCCTCACCTCAGGTGATCCTCCTGTCTTGGCCTCCCAAAGTGCTGGGATTACAGATATGAGCCACCAAGCCAGGCTGACTGCTTAATATGTAGAATGTGTGTATAGAATACTTTTTCTACTCAGCATCGGTCTTCCTGCCCCTGTCACCTTGTTTTGTTTTATTGGTAACATTAATCTTGATGGTTTTAATGTCCATCAATGATAGACTGGATTAAGAAAATGTGGCACATATACACCATGGAATACTATGCAACCATAAAAAAGGATGAGTTCATGTCCTTTGTAGGGACATGGATGAAGCTGGAAACCATCATTCTCAGCAAACTATTGCAAGGACAAAAAACCAAACACCACATGTTCTCATAGGTGGGAATTGAACAATGAGAACACTAGGACACAGGAAGAGGAACATCACACACCAGGGCCTGTCGTGGGGTGGGAGCAGGGGGGAGGGATAGCATTAGGAGAGAGATACACCTAATGTAAATGTGACGAGTTAATGGGTGCAGCACACCAACATGGCACATGTATACATATGTAACCTGCACGTTGTGCATATGTACCCTAGAACTTACATATAAAAAAAAATCTTGTTGGTTTTATGGTCTCCGAAGTTTAATTAGTTCTTCTATACTCACTGGAGTTTGGCTTTCATCTCGCCTTTCTGCATTTCCAAAATAGGGCCATCTTCATTTTAAAAGATGCTTTCAATTATGGAAGCCTAAGTATTGTTACCCCAATGTGCCTACTTACTATCCAAACCTGAAAAACGTTAGGGTTCACTGTATTCATTTAAAATCCAGTTTGGGAAGATGTAATCACCAGTGTTGACACACTCATGAGCGTTTAGTGATATTAAGATGAGGTTGAATAGGGCCCAGTACTCGAAGAAATCGTCAAAGGAGCATCATCGTGATTAAGACCAGACTCAAGTAGATGTTACCGTGACTCGCATCACTTACTAGCTCTGCCATACTGGACTACTTAGGAAACTTCTTGTGCCTCCGTTTTATAACTAAGTGAAATAAGGAAAGAATTTGAAATCGTGCCCAGCACAAAATTGAGCAGTCAGTAAATTGACATTTTTCATGTATTTAAAGTTACAGAATGTCAGGTATATTTTTAAAGCGTTATCTAATGCAGTTCAGAAATTTTAAAGACGCTTCAGACTTTCACAAAAGGTGGAGTGACTTGCCCAAGGCCACAAAACGAACTGGCAATAGTTGTACCACACAGGTTTCTTGAATCCCAGATCACTCTTTATTTTTGTGAAAAATATGGTGCTATGGCACCATATTCTCATTGCCTGTGGCTTGAGTAACTGAAGACGTTTTCACACCATATGAAAGATATTTAGCATGCTGCATTGATTCCTTATCAGATTAATCTTTGCTTTTAAAGAGAATTGATTTTTAGCCCATAGCGGTTCTTGAAAGTAAACACTCCAAGATGAAGCTGCCCTTTCCCATCAAAGGTTAGACACCCTAAATCCAGAAAAATCTTCAACATTTAGGAGACCTGTTCACAGGTAGCTCTAGGTTCCAGTGAAGTGGCTGCAGCACAGCCTTCAGCATCACTTGCCTCCTCTTCTGCTTGCAAGCTTGGTGGTGGACCTAGCGCGTCTCTGGTTGCTACGGCGATTCCCTGGCAGGCGTCATCCGTCGCTATGGCGCTCTGCACTGCGCAGCATGGCTGCTCCCGATTGGCTGAGGGGCCCCGGGAGGCGGAGGAAGAATTGTCGGCATTGGCCTGGCCAGCGCCGGTTGGTGGCCTGGAGGAGGATTTGATTGGAAAACCAACGGCGCAGCTGGCCGCGGTGTACTCGAGGTTGAGGGGACCGCGAGTAGGCTGGGGGGTGGACAGGACGGGCTAAGACTGGACGGGACCCCGGTCTGCAGCAGCAGGTGACAGCAGCAGGAACAATGAGAAGGAGATTGGCCTGAAGGAGGGACCGTCCCTCCGGCGCGGTGAGTAGGCGGGAGCCGCTGCCCGGCTGTGCCGGCGCGCAGCTTGAGTCAGGGTCTCCGGGGAGACGTCCTCAGGTGCCTGTGGAGCGGCCCCGAAGCCTCGGGAGCCAACTTCACTAGACAAGAGGCAGGGGTAGAGAATGCGGCTGTAGTGGGTAAGTGAGTCACTACGTGAGGCAGTCTTTTTCGAAGCAGGTGGGTTTGTGTTGGACGGATGGATGGTGGCAAAGCGCCATCAGCGATGCTTCTTGGCGCTTCCATTTTGATAACGGAATTATTCTGGTTAAATGGAGCCTGAATGTGTCTCTTCCAATCTGCTCCGACGCCTCTGGAGGTTCATTCTTCATCTCTGTGAGCGTCGCTTTTCTGCCTTCTCCTTACAGGATGCTGCTTTGACTTTGCCCCTTTGCTTTTCTGCTCCACTTCGGAGAGCCCTTCCACTTCCTCGCCTCAGGCACCACGTATCTGATGATGGTTAGAAAGCCTCCACCTGGAACCTAGCCTGCTCCACTAAGCGTCAGACGCCAAAATCCAGCTGCCAAGTTAATGCCACACATGTGCAACCCTGAACGCCATCTTCCCCACGCCTGCTACTGCTCTTGGATTCCACTATCCATTCAGTTTTCAAAACCTACACTCTAGACAACATCCATGACACTTACTGCTGCTTCCTCTGCATCTCTATCAATTATCAAGACTATCCCTTCTTAATAGATGTTGAATCAATTCCCACATTACCATCTCTGTTCTTACTGTCTCAATTTCCACCATCTCTTGGTTAAATTCAACATCCATCTGGCTTCTTTGATTCTAGTCTGGCCCTATCTGTCCAATTCACTTTTTTCCCACCATTGTTAAACTGATTTTTTTTTTCTTTGAGAAGGAGTCTTGCTCTGTTGCCAGACTGGAGTGCAGTGGAGCAATCTCAGCTCACTGCAACCTCCGCCTACCGGATTCAACCAATTCTCATGCCTCAGCCTCCAGAGTAGCTGGGATTACAGGCGCAAGCCACTTCGCCTGGCTAATTTTTGTATTTTTAGTAGAGAAGGGGTTTCACCATGTTGGCCAGGCTGGTCTCGAACTCGTGATCTCAGGTGATCCACCCGCCTCAGTCTCAGAATTACAGGCGTGAGCCATCGCGCCCGGCTAAACTGATCTTTTTACAACGCACATAAGGGCATTTCTCTTCCCTACCTAAAGTCCTGCAATGATTCCCCATTACCCTAATCCAATCTTTAGTTAGGCCTTCTATCAGCAGTTCCATCTTGATTGTTCCCAGAATATGTCACATTTTCTCCTGTGTGTAGTTATCTCACCTGTCGCTCACACTGCCTGGAATGGACTCTCCTTTTTGCACCCCCACACTCCTGCTCTCACTCCCCAATAATTTTCTGTATGTTGCTTGATTACTGTTTCTTTCTCTAGACTGCCTCTGTGATGGCAGAAGCCATCTTTGTCTCAGTCACTATTGTTATATATATCCAGCATTTAGCCCAGTACACGACATCATAACAGGTGTTCAACAAATACTTGTTAACTGGTTGAATCTCTAAAATGAGAAGTTACTATTTGCCATGGTATCTTTATTTCTTCCAGAAAAGTTAGAAATGACCAATGAAGCTTTTGGTTATAAAAGGTAAATGTTGAATTTACAGGTTTTACTTTAATTTCAAGACTGTCAGTAATTGGAAACTACTTCAATTCACAGTTTATGGTTTAAGCTATAATCATTATCACGGTAGCTGTTATTATATGACATAAGCTTAAAATGGTAAAGAGAGAGAGAGACAGTATAGCATGGTTTGCAAGAGCTAAGCTTTGGAGTCATACATACATAGGTTTGAATCCTAGCTCTAGCATTTTAGTTGTGTAACACATAACAAATCACTTAGCCTCTAGTCAGATTCTTTATCTGCACAATGGGCATATAATAGCACCTAGCTCATAGGATTGTTTTAAAGATTATATGTACATAATTCATACCAAAGGCATAGTGCTTTATATATAGTAAGCTTTCAAGCTTAAAGATGAACACACTGGGCCAGGCACGGTGGCTCATGCCTGTAATTCCAGCACTTTGGGAGGACGAGGTGGGTGGATCACCTGAGGTCAGGAGTTCAAGATCAGCCTGGCCAATATGGTGAAACCCCGTCTCTACAAAAAATACAAAATTAGCTGGGCGTGGTGGCCCAAGCCTATAATCCCCACTACTTGGGAGGCTGAAGCAGGAGAATCCCTTGAACTGGGAGACAGAGGTTGCAGTGAGCCAAGATCATGCCACACTGCTCTACAGCCTGGGCAACAAGAGTGAAACTCTGTCTCAAAAAAACAAAACAAACAAACAAAAAAAACCACCGAAGGCTAGAGTTGTGAAATTGGCATGGTCAGTTCACAAAAGGTAAAAATCAATCTTTTGATTCAGTCAAGTGCAATTTCTAGGACACCATCCTGTTGTTATAGTACTTGATCACAAACTTTTGTGTTTGGCGACAGCCTGATACCGCTCAGAGTCTCAATCATTCAGGGAGTATTTATTGACCATCTAATGGGTTTGGGGCTCCATGCCCAGTGCGGGTGAGCCAAAAGACAGTGCAACCAATAAAGTCTTCAGGAGGTGGAAGAAGGGCCTGGAATGTTACTCTGCCTGTCAGAGCCAGTCAAGCTTTGAGGCTGAAGTCAGAGTGAGCTGGGTTGAGCACTTGGATAGGCAGAGAGAAGCTGGAAGTTCATCCAGACAGTCAACAAATATTTGTTGAACACCTGGGCCTTCAGCAGTGAACAAAACAAAGGCACTATTATCTTTGGACAGTTCTCAGGGCACAGTAGAGCAGAGTTCACAGAACACAGATTCTCGAGTCAAACTGCTTGGGTTCTAATCCTAGCTCCCCAAATTCTAGATATGGGATTGGCAAGTTACTTAATCTTTCTGCACCTCAGTTTCCTCATCTGTAAAATGAGGTGGTTGTGAACATTACATGAATTAATATGGAAAAATTTCTTAGAACAATGGTCGTTATGCAGGAACTGCCATGTAAATGTTATTTATTTGTATTATGTTCTATTTGGAACACAATACGAGGAGAGAAATAAGTAAAGCAGGATGAGGGAATAGAAATAATCAGCTTGTGGATAGTGTGTATGACTTGGATTTGGGAATAAGTCTTACAGTTTCAAAGATTTCGTCTTCTAGATGAAAGTGAACTTTAAACAAACTCATGTATATGCCTGATATGTATCATGATTTAAGAAACAGGAATGGCCAGGCACGATGGCTCACACCTGTAATCCCAGCACTTTGGGAGGTCAAAGTGGGAGGATCACTTGAGGTCAGGAGTTCGAGACCAGCCTGGCCAACATGGTAAAACCCTGTCTCTACTAAAAATACAAAAATTAGCTGGGTGTGGTGACGTGTGCTGGTAATCCCAGCTACTCTGGAGTCTGAGACAGGAGAATCACTTGAACCTGGAAGGCGGAGGTTGCAGTCAGCCGAGATGGCACCACTGCACTCCAGCCTGGGCACAGAGCGGGACTCCATCTCAAAAAAAACACAAACAAACAAACAAAAACAAAAAAACAGGAATATGCGCACTGGATAAAATATATAGTTTTTCATTTGGTAAAATAATTCCTTATACTTATCTATAGGTCAGACTCCCCTCATCTCAGCTAAAATCTGCCATGGTCATAATGAAAGTCATGAACTTAAGTCCATAGAGTTGGCATCAATTCAAAGCTTATTAAATCTTATATTAGAAATAGTTACGATAGACACAGATTCTAGCTTCAAAGCAGTCAGCAGAATCACAGTGACAAAATGACAACTGACTGGCTCATGTCTACAAAAGATACCTAAGCACTCCTGTAAAAATTAAAGTAAAAACTACAAGCAGGACAGATAAAGCACAGCAGCCATAACACTGACTTTGGGCCATCAGGAAAAAGTTGCACAGTATTTAGTATATTTAGTAAAAGACAGGCAATTGTTAATATGAAAAGTATGAATAAAATAATATTTGTTTATTAAAGAAATAAGTATTTATCTAGAAAATTCACTTAGGTGAATAGAGAGCTGGATAAATGCCACCAATAAATGAGAGTTAGTACTGCATTAGGTTAACCGGAAGGGTTCTGCCTGGCCTCAAATCTCTGCTCTGCCACCTACCAGCTCTGGGACCTTGGCAAATGGATGAACCTCACTGGGCCTCATTTCCTTCATGTGTAAATTAGGGACTGTAAGGGTAGCTACCTTATAGATTCATTAGGTAATGTATAGAAAGCACTTAGAACAGTGCTAGCACCACCATATAAATGTTTGCTCTTATTATGACTGTTGTTATTACTAGGTATGAGATCTTGGTCAAGTTACTGGACATTTTAGTGCCTCAGTTTCTTCATCTGTAAGTTGGAGATATATTACTACCTCAAAGGGTTATTTTGAGGATTAAATGAATATACTAATGTGCTTGTAAGAATAACCCTTATTAGGTTTTTAAAAATTAAAATGAAAACCATTTATGACATTGAATTTAAACCCTATTTTTAATTTTATCTCTAGTATTTGTCATTAATGAGTCAAAATCAATGAATATAGACGAATGATTTAAAATAAATACACAGCCAGGTGCTGTGGCTCACACCTGTAATTCCAGCACTTTGGGAGGCCGAGGAGGGTGGATCATCTGAGGTCAGGACTTTGAGACCAGCCTGGCCAACATGGTGAAAGCCCGTCTCTACTAAAAATACAGAAAAAATAAAAATAAATAAAAATAAAAATTAGCCAGACATGGTGGTGGGCACCTGCAGTTCCAACCACTCGGGAGGCTGAGGCAGGAGAATTGCTTGAACCTGGGAGGCAGAGGTTGCAGTGAGCCGAGATCGTGCCACTGCACTCCAGCCTGGGTGACGAGTAAAACTCCATCTCAAAAAATAAATAAATAAAGTAAATACACAAGCTCTTCAAATGAAGTAATATTATCACCAGCCTGAGCGACACAGTGAGA